ACTAAATAGGTTATTTTATATGCACCCCTTGCAAAAAAATGATCTTTTGCTCTGTTTGACAGGCACTGAAGGAGAACATTGAGGATCAAGCCAAGAATTTGGAGGAATTGAAGCAAAAGAGCATATTGCTAACATCGGCCAATACCCCAGATATTGTAGAGAGTGTTGAGAGGCAGGTTGCTGATGCAGAGAAATGCTACCAGGACCTGCTGGACCGGATGAAGGTATGGACAGCACTCGACAGAGAAGTTGGTAGTTTGCTCTGGACTCGTTCCATAGCATAGGACCTGAGCTTGAACCACAGAGGGCAGTGTTTGCTTAACTCAAACATTCCTTGGTGCCTATCAGTCCAGGAGCTCTAGCGTTTTTGAGGCAGTTACATAAAATCATTTAATCAGCAAAAAACTCTTGGATATTGAGATAGTCTGAATCTTATAGCATGTTGCAAGTCAATTTTTTCTTTATGCATGGTATTTAGGGCACTAGACTAAAGCAATTCCTTGTATCATTGGATCAATTAAAAACCATGAAATATGCCACCCGTCCAACCCTTTATTAAATTACTGTTTGGAATTCTGGTATGTGTTTTGATGAGTTCATTCCTAAATAAGTGGTGAAAGGAACTTGGTAAGTCTCACATCCAAAGGATTTTTCATTTACAGGACATTCACCAACTGCAAGAAGAAGCAGTCCTCACTCACGAGTCTTGGCAGGAGGCAGCAGACGACATGTCAGGCATCCTCACAGCCATAGAGGAGGGACTGAGTCAGACGACTAGCCTGCCGACAGAGGTGGAAGAATTACAGGTCAAGAAGGCACAGCTTATGGTAAGATAACCACATCAGGGTAAAGACAGCCTACAGTAAGATAACCAACACTAGAGTGGAGACACAGCTTATTGCAACCTAAATCCAATTTAGAGTTTAAAGACAGTTTATGGTTAGATAACTAACATTGGAGAAAAGATAACGCCTTAATTTGTATTTTAAGATAATCAGCATGTGAGAGAAGACACAGGCTATACGTTAACCGGAACTAGGTCACAGACACATGTTGTGGTAAGATAATTAACTCTAGGCTGAAAGCACAACCTGAAATAAGATAACCAGAAGGAGGTTACTGTTACTTTCTGTAATTTTGGATTGAAGGAACTCCAAGCTAAGTTGCCGGTGGGCCAGTCCAAACTCACCCAGCTGGATGACTGCACCAGTAAGGCACTAGCCTCCACTGCGGCTGCTGGCCAACCCAAGCTCAGCCACCATGCCACAGGGCTCAGCGAGAAGTGGAATGCCCTGCAGACCCAAGCGGCTGAAACGGAGTCTAGAATCGCCGAGATGCTGAGGCAGAGAGGCCAGCATGATGACAAGAGGGAGGAGTTTGCAAGATGGCTGAGTAAGACGGAGATGGAGTTAGTAGAGGCTTCCCAGCTGGGCTCAGATCTTGAAGCAAAGGAGAAGCAGCTACGGAAATGCAAGGTAAGACCAAAAGAACTCTATATGATTTGGGGTCTGTTTAGAATCATAAAAGAAAACATGTGAATTTAAATCTGTATTGTCTTCATGATACTGGATTGAATTTTACGAAAGAATCCTGATCCATACGCTCATTGCATAATTTTTAACAGCTTTTGCTTATACGTGTTTAGGTGATGACCACCCTTCCTTGAAATTCTGGCCACCAAGAGTTGCCCTTTTTTCCAAAAGTTTCCAAAAGTAGTTCCGGCTTGTAGACAAAAATTTGCCAAGTCCCAAAAGTTATAATGAGCCCAGCAGTAAAGAGAAATCCTAGATTCTCCATTATTCTGAGAGGAAAAGAATGAGTTCTGCAACTTTGGTTTATTCTTTGTCAACCATTTCAAGCTACCAAAATCCCAGTCTTATGGATCACCCTCACTTAATGAATCTCTCTTCGTCATCATCGTCGTTACTCTTTATCCGCAGGAGCTCACTGATGACATTGTCCTCCATGAACCAGCACTGGCCGATATCCTACAAGGTGCTCATCAGTTTAACGACAACCTGTCTGAGCAGCTTGCTGCTAGATACAATGCCCTGAAAGACAAAGCTGAGGTAAGCACTGGGCCTAAATTGATACAGCTGGTCTGAACTATTACTACAGGTATATAGCACATTTTTGTGTAAGAACTCACCAGGGAACCAGTCACAAGAGATACACATTGAGTGACATTTTTACCGGGAACCTGTTCTCCCAAAGCAATCGTTGACTTTGCTAAGCGTAGTAACTATGTTAACTGGCTCCGTGAAATCGGTCCTGGGTTCAAACACTGCCTCAGAAGCTCATTCAGATACAAAGTCAGGGACTGGCCCTTTCATTGTTGTTTTTTGCAGCCTCTAATGCGGGGTCCAAGACCATCTGTTTGTACACATTGTCAATGTTTGTAAGTCCAATTCCGCTTAGCTCAGCAAGTAGACAAAAAAAGATAACCAAAAATGCTCTACTGCTATTTATTTCAGGATGTCACCCAGCAAGCAGTGAAAGCGGTCGCAGATCATAGATTGTACAATCAGAGCATGGAGGATTGCAAGGCCTGGCATGAACAGATGGAGAGAACACTTGAAGAGAACACAGGGATACCAGAGATGAAAGATGAACTGCAAAAACAGGTGGACAATCTGAAGGTAAAGCCATTAGCAGAAGAACAATCAGGTTCATTGCATGTAAATTGGTAAAGTTTACAAAAGTTATTGTGGCCACAAAGGGACATCACTAACATGAAATTTACGAGCAGCATCAAAAAGAATGTACAAATTGCAAAAAATGACAAGTTAACTTTGCTTTGCTGGAAAGGAAACTTGTAAGATTCCTTAAATAATCACATTTTTGTGACATGACAGATTTGGGGGTAACCCTGATATTTTATTACTTAAAAGAAAATTTCAAGGGTGATATTCCATCATGGCCATCGTGGAAACACACTGACCGACAGGTTTTTTGAGTGTACATCTGTGTTGATTTCATTTTGATTTGGGTAGACAAGATTAAAGTTGAGTGTCGTTACATTGTAAAATTCAAAACCACAGATTCTTCAGCAGAGTCAGTCTGAGGGAAAACAGAAACTAGAGGAAGTGCTTGCCACAGCAACTGGCACAGTGCCCTCGACGTCTCCACAAGGTCAAGAGGTCATCCGGAAATCTGTTGCTGCCCTCCAGCAGGCATCGGCGGCATTGACAGATCAGACAGATAGAGCCAAGGACCAATCAGAGGAAGCCTTGCAGAAGTGGGATGAGCACAACAACAGATGTAAGAGGCTGTCTGATTGGATAGTTGAAGCAGGAACAATACTAGATGACCTAAGGAAACCTTGCACAGACTTGGAGGAAAGAAAGAAGAAGCAGAACATGTTAGAGGTAAGAACAAAACAGCCTAAAAACAGTCAAACTTTGTTAGTATTAAATCTAACTATTGCATTCTAAATTTTGCAATTTTAATTTTGAAATTGAAGTAACAAAACATGTTTCAAGGACTTTAACTTTATCAAGACACAAAGTAAAATACAACAAACACTTCGAAACTGCTTGTTAACTGGAGTTATCTAAAATATGCAAATCTTTCTCCAAGGCAAAAGATACACAGTAATACTTAAAACCTAAAAGATGTGGACAAGTCTAGAAGGTATATAACTTAAATATTACTTTCCCTCATAGACAGTTCATTAACAAACACTTTGTAATCTCTTCTTTTCAGTCGCTCAGCCAGGAGGTCGATGGTCATAGACGAGATGTGGAGATTCTGTCTCCTCTAACCCAGGAGCTTCAGAGTATTGGTGTGAGGAACCCGACCATTCAAACTAACAAAGAGACTGTCAACACTGAGTATCAAGAACTCTGTGATAAACTGAAGGTATGCCTCTATTCAGTACCAACAGAAACACGTTTCACTGACTTTGTTTATGAAATTAATGTTTAGTCTCACACTTTGCGTGATTGTGCCTTGTAGTATAAACTGGATGTAAGTGTAGCTTGTTAAAAACTCCGCTGTAAGTTGTATCATAATAAAGAACTTAGTTTTTTATGTCTCTACTTTGTGAGAGCAACCTTGTCAGCTGGTATGCTTGAATATGTGAATCGAAGTAAATATTTTAATTACGCATATTGTTTGTTTCTATCTTGTTCATTCCCTCTCAGGGACATAATAAGCAAGCAATGTGAACTAAGTTGGGTTAGGAAAGAGCCCATCTTTTGATTATCTTCCTGAATTTGACTCCTTTACCTCAGGATTCCCAAGTTCAGTGTTCTCAAGGCATCACGCTCAATGAAGAATTCCTCCAAGTAGTACAGGAGGCTGGGAAATTTTTACAGCAAGCTGAAGAGACTCTGGCTGGCTGCTCTGACCCCTCAGGGGACCGCAAGATCTGCCAAGACAAATTAAAAATGGCAGGGGTATGTAGCAATTAATTAACTTCATTGCTACTGTGTTCCATAACCGTCTGTCTCTGTTTTAGATTAATGTGAGGTGATATTGAACAATCTGACGTCAATTAGTTATGGTCATCTTTTGAGTAGTGAAAGTCACTGTTACATAACAAAGCAACCCAGCAGGTCTGCTACAGTAACAGTTCTGAACCCATCACCTCTTCACAAGATGCATACTGTGATAAGATTGGCTGCATACATGCTTTGATATTTGCTAGCTGCAAGTCAGGATCACACAAATAAATCCTCCTGTCTGCAAACACTGAGTTTTTAAGCTAAGGAACAGGTGTAAGACGTATCGTCTTAAACTGACAGCAAGAAATCATCTTCCTTTGTCAAGGGGCCACTGTTTGCGTACAAGCTGAAGATTATACTTCTCTGTGGTTCATCTTTCAATGTAGTCTTTGTTGGGTAAACAAGTTATTTTCTACTTCTTTTTCCATGGTTTCCTTCAGAATCTTTTAGCCAAGCAAGATGAACTCCAGTCTCGTTTGGAGTTGGCAGCGGAGACCCTCAACTCACTGGATCCACACACCTCAGCAGAAGGTCACACTGCCCTGCTGGCCACCGTCCAGTCACTGCAGAGCCAGTGGGATCTGCTGGTGCCCAGCATCAACCAGTGCAGAGCTATGCAAGGAGACCGGTTGGAGACTTGGGTTGATTTTGAAGGTGATGTGGAAGAGATGGGACAGTGGTGCATAGACACTGAGACAGCTCTAAAAGATGCAGCAGAGCCCAGAGAGGACCTGGCTGATAAGAGATCTCAGCTTGAAGAAGTCCAGGTACCTGACCATCTTACAACATTCCATGTTTAGGACCTTGTTCTCCACATCACATGCATAAAGAAAAAAACCAGCTGACAACTGTCAATCAGTTGATATCAAACAAAACATTTGGTGTTCGGCATTTCTGTTTGCCTTATGGAATAACCTGGAACTTCGGGAATTGGTTTGGCAGTGCAGCATTCATTAAATGGAAAGCTTTGGAAAAACTTTGCCAACCAGTAGAAGAAGGAATGAAGATTTATATGTGGGCACGAGACAGCAATGCATTGGGGAATAATTAAAACTTTGAAAGAAAGAGGAAAGTTATTTTCTTTAAATGTAGATTTTGTTTTTTATTTCACTGTCAGGAGGTCATTTGAGGTCAATGTCACTGGATTAGAATTTGAGGGGAAGTTTAGTTACTTGACATGTTCTCTTTTTGACTTGGGCACATTCCAAGTAAAGGCAGTTTGTAAGTTTTTGTGGAAAATGATGTGATTTTCTGTTTGACAGGCACTGAAGGAGAACATTGAGAACCAAGCCAAGAAATTGAAGGAATTGAAGCAAAAGAGTGTGATGCTAACATCGGCCAATACTCCAGACATTGTAGAGAGTGTTGAGAGGCAGGTTGCTGATGCAGAGAAACGCTACCAGGACCTGCTGGACCGGATGAAGGTATGGACAGCGAAACAAGTATCTTACGGGGAATTGTTAGGAATGTGGCTCACGTTGGATATAATTAATAAACAGCTAATGACTTTCTGAAATTGCAATGGAATGAGTACACAAATTCCACTTGCACTTATCTACTAGAAATAAAAATAAGCAAAATGGGCAATTTGAAATTACCTAGGAGAGGGTACAAATCATTTTTTTTAATTGTGTTACTAAATCAGAAACTTTTGAAGTCGGTTACCCCACAAAGGTCTACAAAAGATGAACCTAAAATCGAGTATATCTGTTTTGTATGTGCACGTAGAACTATAAGTTTTTATAAACCAAATTGATATGTTACCAACAGTGCTCTTGTATCTGTGGTAGGTTTTTTCATGCATTGCTTGCATTTGTCATGTAAGGACATTCAACTGCAGAAGGAAGAGACAGTCCTCGCTCACGAGTCTTGGCAGGAGGCAGCAGATAACGTGTCAACATCATCACGGCCATAGAGGAGGGACTGAGCCAGACCATAGTCACTCCCTCGGATATACAGGAGCTGCAGGCCAAGGTGCAGTGTCTGAAGGTGAGATTAAAGCTTCAGTCTTGAACATGCATTCAGACCCTACGACTGGGATGTTTTAGGCTGTCTGCAGGTGAATTCTGAATAACTGTATATTGGAGCTGGGCCTTGTTAGCTCTTATTTGACGGGTGCCCAGGTGTCACCCAGATTTGAATTTAGACATCATTAGTTACCCCATTAACATGATGTTGCATGTCTTGTGTCTCACGTACAGCAAGACCAACCTGAACCTGATACATGTGTGCTACCTTTGAATTCATGTTGGATTTTGAAGCTCTGAATAGTTGTTGCTGTTGAGGGATGCAGTAGGCTTCCCCTTGGAATAATGAGACATGCCCAATGTGACATGTACCTCGGTTATTGGTACATAAAACAGTTTCTGTTACCATAGATTGATTAGTCGGGGGCAAGGATTGTAGTTTGCTTGAAGATGTATGCAGGAAGTTAGGAGCAGACTTTGGTAAACAGTAAAGCAATATTCATGTCCGTGTTTTCCTGACCTCCCACCTAGTTTTCAATTTCATTTTTATTGATTTGTAACTCAAGATGCAAAGGTTTCAATGCTGTTTTTACGAAAAAGGAACTGCAGGCACAATGTCCGGAAGGCCAATCCAAGCTGAATGAGTTCTTAGATTGCACCCATCAAACACTAGCTTCAACCTCAGACGCCGGGCAGGCCAAACTTAACCAGGAGGCCACACAGCTCAATGACAGGTGGGAGAAGGTGTTGGCCAAGGTGGCTAAATCAGAGGCGAAGCTTGAGAAGAGTCTACAGCAGAAAGAAGAGCACAATATGAAGAAGAACGAATTTGAGAAGTGGTTGGCCGAGAAGGAGGTTGAACTTGAGGAGTGCTTCGTGCTGCAGGCAGACCTCCCTGGGAAGGAGGGAGCCAATCACAGATGCAAGGTGTGTTCTTGATGTAATATTTACTAATAAATAAACGAAGGTAGAATGATAAGAGATGAGAAAAGACAGGGTGAACAAAAAAATTAAGAAAATTCAACTAGTTGTGAGTCTTTTGACCTACAAAGCAAACACAGCATGGCCAACCGGGATGATGTAGCCAGTATCTGACAGTTTGGTCTGCATTAAATCCATCTTGCCTTTCTCCCATTGCTTTCCTTTTTTTGTAAAATGCGTCAAATTAATTTGTAAATGAACAGCTTGTAAAATCATTATAAAGCCTTTGTGAAAATGTGATGTAAATCTTGTGTCATTGTATTCCAAACCTAACGTTAAACCCCTTGAAAATATTAAACATCGCTTTGCTTGGTGTATTTTATGGCACCATAGAGGGAGAGGCTTACATGCAGAAGAACCGGACCCAAGTTGAGTTGGTTGTGATGCAAGACTGTGACTCAGGCCTCGTGGCCAGCACACCCAGGCTTGCCATTCATGCCATGATGCCCGAGTGACTTTATTCAATACACACTGTGTGTGTTTATCGCATCTTTACTTTGCCATTGTCTTTTACCAGCTTGAATTTGCAGGTTATTTTTGTCATTTTAATATTTCTGCAGAGACTTGTCGAAGACATAGCCCAACAAGAGCCTTGGCTGGCTGAGTTGACACACAGTGCTCAGCAGCTGCTAGACACCAACATTGAGAGTATCTCAGTCCGATTCCACACCCTGAAAAATAGAGCCAATGTAAGTTTTAAATTGGATTCTGCATAAAATAGGAGTCTGTAAAACTTGTTTTCTTCTCAGACCTACTTCATAGAAATGCCATTTTCTTACCAAAATTAATGTCTATCTTGTCTGCTGGGTGAACCAATCAATCCTTTTCATATTTTTTAAGGTGCCACTCAAGTCAGCTGTGTTCTATGAAAACCCAGAGAGAAATTAAAACACCAAATTAAGTTGGATTTGAGCCCTGGGATGCTATGCTGGTACTCTGGCAGTTGAGATAACTTTCTGTATGCTCTCACGTAAAACATTTCAGAGAAAGGTTAAAGTCATTTTGCTTACAGTGTATGTTGGTTTTGTTTCCATTGTTTATGTTGAGGTTTATCTTCTCGTCTAATTGTTGGCCATTCTCAGGAATCATCTGAGCATGCTTACAGGGCTCTGGATCACCACAGACAGTTCAATCAGAGCATGGATTACTTTCAGAGCTGGCTAGCTGAGGCGGAGCAAGTCCTGGATGACAACAAAGATGTACCGCCAAGAATGGACAGACTCAAGCAGCAGCTACAAAACCTGAAGGTAAAGCACCAAGACAGAAATCCAGTTCATGGGAAAAAATTGTTTTGATTTCCTTTAACATCTGGAATATTTTGTGAGAGAATCTGAATAATTACATGTATAATTTGTACTTGTGTTGCACAGTTACAGAGGATTGTCAAATAGATCTGTTGTTTAATTTTTTTCCTGGACAGAGATAGGTTTTTTTTAACTTGAAGAGGGTATATTTATTTTGGTGTGAGAGGAGTAGATGTAGCTAAATGTTTTTCCTGAACTTCTTCTAAAGATTCAAGCATAGCTGTCCCTTAGTATGAGTTCAGTGCATATTTGGAAAACTATTACAGGTGAAGCAGGGTACAGAATTTACAGCCAGTTAAAGTCTGCCTTAGCCTGATGAGAAAGCCTACGGCGTTGTTTCCTTGAAAGTGGAAATCCACCCCAATTATGTTGACTCTTTTGCATATGAGAAAAGAGAAATACGCTCACGAACTATCCAGTGGCTGTAGATTAGAAAAGTCAATCATCGGTTTACCTTCTAATTTCTGAATTTTCTTTCCATGTAGAATTTGGAGCAATCTCAAGATGTCGGCCGACAAAAGGTGGATGACATCGCCACCCATGCAGACCTTGTCTTGGCATCAACAGCCCCACCTGGTCAGACCACTGTCCAACATTACCTCAACAGTCAGCAGCAAGACCTGATGGCACTGGCCGGTCACACCGCCCAGGCTAAGGACCAATTACAGGGGGTGTTAGAGAAGTGGGAGGAGCACAGTGCCAGCTGTAAGAAGCTCTCTGATTGGTTAATGACTGCAGAGACAACTCTTGTGAACTTGGAGAAGCCGTGTGTTTATCTAGAAGAGAAGAAAACACAACTTGACAAACTGATGGTAATGAAATGATCTTCTTTGCCTCTCTAGAAAGATGTCTTGGAATTTTACTGAAAGTTTACAGTTATTGTCGATATTTGTAGGATGTCTTTGTCGAAATAAATACAGTTTTTCAAAAACTATGACAACGAGATTGTTGAAACCAAGAAATATTTTTGTGGTGTAAAAATAATTTTGTTACTATTTTACAGCTCATGCTTAATCATGAAGGTGCATTGTTGTGGATAAATGTTGAGAAGTTTGAAAAACACTGTCATGCTACCTATGTCTGATTCAGCTGCTGAAGACGATTTTAGTACTTCGGGAATACCTCACAAATCATTCCAAAATTCTAACAGATTTTCTTCGAGTTGGTTTTTATGATTCTTTTTCACCCAAATTTCAGACCCTCGAAGAGAACGTGGTTTCCCATCAAGCAGACGTTGAGGTTGTAACCCCACAAGCCCAACAGCTCACCCTGCTGGGTGTGTCTGATCCTGGCGTCAGTGCCAGAGCCCAAGATATCACCGATGAGTACCAGGATTTGTGCAGCAGGCTCAAGGTTGACTAGAAATCTTCCTTTATGAAATTGCCACACCTTTGTCTTTGTTGTCACTTGGATTGTTGAGTGAAAATGTTTCAAAGCATTTTCACGTGTTTTTGTGAAGGTTTCCATTATGGAAAAGGGAAATAAAATACATGTTGCATTGTGAGTCTGTAAGGTATGCCCCTTTTGGTGGGTTCTGAGGAAGATCAGTCCATGTTTGGAACAGTGTCTTGTGTTTTCTGAGATGCAATTTGGTATTCATAATCCAGATTTTAATCGTTTGGTTATTGTCCTTGAATTTGTAGGCAGTTTTAATCAAGCAAGAATTGTGCAGCACTCAAATCCTCATATCTATTAACCAGGGAGAAACAAAGAAACCACATACTGGTTATGACCTCCAACATTCCCCACTGCAGATGAATGCAACATGTTTTTTTTTAATGTTGTGGAGTTATCTAATTTTTTCTCAGAACCACACAACTTATGTCCTTTTGCAAACTTGGCCATTCACCAAACGACACTTGTATTATGCTCTGACAGGTTGCACTACAGCAGAGAGAAGAGCAGGTTGCTCATCACCAGCAACTGGCCAATCAGCTGCAAGATATGAATGATTGGCTGAAGGCCAAGCAGCTTGAGTTGGATCAGTGCTCAGGATTGGCTGCTGATAGAGAGGCTAATGAAGACAGGATACAGCAGCTGCAGGTACATCTTGTCACATCTTTTCCTATGCTCCAAACATTACCTTAATGTCTCAGACGTAAGCTGTGTCCTGTGTCTAACGCTAGTTTAAGGTCTTTACCCATCACAAATATGCGGGCATATGCCAGGAAATCTGGACTTGGTTAGCCATGATTGTCCTCATAACCTTAGAAACGAGGTCAACTCTAACTAAACAGATGTGTGCATGCAGATGGGCTCCAGTTTTTCATGTCACCTACAAAAGCTGCTTTCTCCAGCAATCCAATGATTGTGTATCCTTCATAAAGCAAACACTGAATTTATTCACAAAGGTCCAGTTTGAATTACTTTTCAGTTGGATTAGGAAAAATTCTTTTCAAGATACCTGAATGTGTTGGATGCAGTCTTTGGTTGTTTCCGTATTCCAACAGAAAACTGAAATGGATATCCAAGACTGATCAGGAGAGGATGAAAAGCTATGAAACTGTTGTTCAGAACTACATATACTGAAAATAAATACAATGTATACTAATCCAAGGAGATGCCATTACTGCGCTGGCACGACGCTCACATGTAGTGCAGCAAATAAGGACACCTTGTTAGATAGAGAAGCATGCAATGTGTGGTGCCACTGCAGTAATGACCTCTACATGTATGTCTGGTCTGCAGTAATGACCTCTACATTTATGTCTGGTCTGCTGTAATGACCTCTACATGTATGTCTGGTCTGCAGTAATGACCTCTACATGTATGTCTGGTCTTCAAAGTGGTCTATACAACGCAGAAGTATGCAGCCTTTGGTGCTTGTACATTTTGTGTTTGTTTGGCAAGAAGTGGAAGTGGTTGGGTTTGAGTAGTTAGCATTGGTAGATTTATGTTTGGGTCAATATCTAATGAGTTTTCTCCCAAATAACCTGATGATCTCTTTTCTAGGTTGTACTTGCCACCTTACCAGAGGGTGAGGCCCAGCTGCAATCCTCCATGGACCAGAGTGCCATTGTCTGCCCCAGCACTGCACCGGCCGGGCGCGATCGCATTGACCAGCAGCTGCAGATGGCTGCCGACAGGCTCAAAGCCCTGAGACAGCAGGCCGAGAGAAGCCAGCACCAGCTGGAGGAGGGGGCGGAGCTGCAGCGGAACTACGAGGGGCGGGCTAAGGAGCTGAGGGAGTGGATGGCCGGGGCAGAAGGGGCGCTTGGAGAAGCTGAGCTGGAGGGAGAGGTGGGTGAGGGACAGCTAGAGGTCAAGCAGGCTCACCTGGAGAAGGTCAAGGTAAGAACGTGGAAACTTGTGGACCTTGGATGGGCTAGTGTCTAAGGATTGCTGATTTAGAAAGGGCTACATTGTATGCTGAGTTTATTTCTGCTTGATCAATAATGCCCTGGGCTTGGAACTGCACAGGTGGTATTCAGTGGTTTGTGATTGCCATTTGTTGTTTGGAGCATGAATAATTTTTACAGTTTTTCACAGGAAAATTCATCCATACTGATGTGTTCTTTTCCATACATATCCTTGAAAAGATCATTTTTCAGTTTCTTATTTTTCTACTATGAAGTTCAAAGGAAACTTTTAGATAATAGTAAATAGCTATTAACATTTGACCTCCCGAATTTATGAATATATTTGTGCTTGAGCATTGTTTTATAACATCTTGTAAATTGACTTTTGCAGTGGGTTTTTCATGCATTGAGATGAAAAAGTTAGTATTGTAGAAATAGGCTTAAAATTTAGTGGCACTGATTTCTTCTTGTGATAGGCCCTGTGTGATGAGAGCCAGGAATTGCAGCCAATCAGAGCCCAAGTTACATCACTAGGCCAGCAACTGATAGCCAGTAACCCAACTGCTGTACACATTGGTAGTGAAACCACCAGACTGACTGCTGGGTACCAGACCTTACACATGAATCTCAAGGTACAGCATCCTGAAAGACAAGTACTTTTTAGTTGAAATAGGAGCAGAAATGTCCATAATTATGTCCATGACAATAATGTTCATAGCAAATGTTAAAAAAAGAAGCCATCTTGAGAATTGGATGTTTGGTCATTGGTAATCACACAGGTTTTATCAATTTGTTTTACTCTGTGAAGGATTTTTATTGCTGGACATGAACTTCACTGTGAATAAATCAGACATTAATGAAACTGGCTTTCAGAGTTCCACTGTGGCTGAAATGTAAATGTATTTACTTCGAATAGTCCTGAAAAGTGCTGCTAACAGTTTGGCGTTTTCTATCTCAGCTTGCAGTTGGCGGGGCAGTTATGACTTTTCACCCATTAATGTGCATTGTCATTGGTTATTTTACTCACTTGCTCATGTTTAGAATCATACTTGGAGGATGTCTTTGTAATTCTTGACTACTCCCTTTGTAGGATTGTAATGTCTTCTTATAATACAACTGCTATATTCTCTCGGTCACAGGATCGCCTGCGCCAGGCAGAGCGAGCAGTCACCGAGCAGCAGAACTTCCAGTCAGCCGTGGAGGATTTCTACAAGTGGCTGCGTGCCGCCCGAGAGACCCTGACCAACTGTCGGAATGTGACAGGGGAGAAGCCGGACGTCAGCTCCAGACTGCAAGACCTGCAGGTAATGAGCAGAGCTCATCATCGTTGAAGCTGCTTCAGTGACGGACAAGTTCGGTGACCATGAGTGTTGGTGCCACACTCTCACCCACGTGGTGTACAGATGTTGAAAACCTCTCAGGCCAAAAGGATGTTGTGACTTGTCAAAATGCTCATACATCTCAAATTTAATAATGCGTGTGTGAGTGTAGCGTCACTGAAGTAGTATCCACTCAGATGAGTCTATGTATTACATCTCAGTAGAAACGGTGCAAAGGGTGCGTTCGATTAGCTGACATGTGTAAGTCAAACTTACACGAGAGTGTTCGTTTAGCCATCATTTCATCTTCGTGCCTGCCCTGGTCTCAGCCTCCACTACCCCAGCTGGCGAGCGGGTCTCTGGAGGCTGCCCGAGTGTAATGACGTCACGGATGGACTGTTCGAGCATGGACATGATGGAACGTGGCGGGGCCTGGCCTTTTTCCAAGAATGCCTTGGTGATTATACTGCAGCGTTCGATTAGCCTCATTTGGAGGCTTCCCTTGGTGTAACACTGGTGTATTCGGGGAAGCTAATCGAATGCACCGTATGATACTTCATGATAAAACCCTTGATCTGCTAGTATGCTCCAAGGTATGCATTCTTGTTGGTGTAGTCGTGGGACAGTGCATCTTTTGAACAGTAGTTTTTACTGAGATAGTAGTCATTATGGGGACACTCGAAAAATCTTGTGGTTATGATTTTAGCTTTCAGAATGGAAGTTAAATGCGTGGACAGTTAAACCTTGCTTAGCAAGCTCTGCCAAGACTTCTACACTGCGTGAAAAGAGCTGGAACTGTAGTCAAAATACGCTTAAAGCCTTACCAAGTGGAGTAGGAGTGTTGTCAGTGTACAACAGATGTGAGTTCTTTGGATTCATGAGGACCATATGTGGTCAAAGATCATGGATTACAGTTTACAAGTGTAGAACTTCTTGTTGATTTGTGTCCGCAGGAGTTGATGTCCATGCGCCACCGCGGTCAGAGCCTTCTCAACTCGGCCAGCAGCAAAGCCGAGCGTGTCTTGCCCCAGACGGCCCCAGACGGCCAGGAGGCCATACAGGCTCAGATTGCTGTCATGAGGGGAGACTACGCCTCCCTGTTGGAGGATACCATCAGTGTGAAGGATGCGCTGGAGAGCTGCGTCAGGGACTGGAACAGGTAAGTGGTGTGAAACAAGAATGTTTCTGAATAAAGTTTCAAATCAATCTTTCCAATCAGTCAAATATTTATTTCCATCAAGAGCAACAATATGCAAAAAATGTTGACAAATGGCATCATAAAAGTAGCATGATCCAGAGAAGTCAAATCTTGTAGGTGCGTGCCTTAACGTAAATATGTTGCCATGGGCAAGCCACTTCACCCCTGCTTGTCTCTGTCCAACCAGGAGTAGAAATGGGTACAAGCATTAACACGTTAGCAACCTGTGATGGACTGGCATCCCACCTAAGGGAGAATACACATAATTTCAGTCATTTCATGCCATGGAAACCCGAGATAAACACCAGTCTGATGAGCCAAGTGGCTTGGAACAGACTTGCTTTTTACTTGTAAACATAATTACAAAGACTTGTATAGATAAATTGAAATGTTAAAAGCAATTACAAGAACCGTAAATAAAAAACAATTTGACAAAGACAGATTATTTATGCCTGAATGTACCAAATCTTTAGTCATTGTATCCTTGTGTGAGTTCTAAGACCATTAAATGCTGCAGGGATATGTAGAGTCCTTGACTGAAGCATTGGCGTCCAGATTTCATTTCTGTATTGGAGGGTCGAGGATTTCACAAGGTTATAATAAATATTTGCAGGTATGAGGCGAGTTGTGATAAGTTGTCCCGTTGGCTTGCCGAGGCCAAAGGTCAAATCAGGACGGCATCTGAGCTGAAGTCCACTCTTGGGGAGAAGAAAGTCCAACTGGAACGATCCAAGGTGTGAAAGTTGGCCCTCTGAAAGCCCTCAAAGTCCAGTGCATGATTTCGAAGGCGCGTGGCTGCTGTAGTTACCTAAAAATTAAAAATTCCACTAAAAGGTGTCATCAAATATTGTGTGGAACATTTTAAGGCCTTATACTAAAGATGCTCTGTTTTTTATGAATAAAAAATATGAGTTTAAACTTGTTGAAAAATGTGATGAGGTTTGTTGTATTTAGGTACATGTCATTTTTCAATGGCACAAATTCACATTTATTGAAGATTTATGTAAGTTGTGCTGTATTTGTCAAAATTTCAGACATTCGGTGAAATTTACAGAGTTAAAAGAAAACTTTTTGCTGTTTTATTTTGTTATTTGCAACCCACTACCTGTTTCAGTTTACGTGGTCAAAGCTATCTGTTGTATAGTCAACAACCCAAAAGTTTCCAAAGTTTTTGTGAAACTTAATTTTGTGTGTGTACATGGCAGGCTATACAGCAAGACATTGCTTCCCATCAAAAGGACATTGATGCCCTGACTGAGCATGCTAAGAAACTTTTGGACCGAAACCCAGATGGCCTGCAGCCAATTACTGAAGAACTTCAGATGTTCACCGACCAATACCAAGCTAGCATGGACAACATTAAGGTTAATAATTCTCTAACAGAACTTACTCTGCGATTATAATACTTATTTCATGACCCACACATTGTTGCTGTTTTCTCTTAACTGTTGAACAGCTATTAAGCTGAAACATTTGAGAAAGAGCAAAAAATTACAAAAGCTGGATTCGAACCTGTAACCTCTCGGAAATAGCACTAGTTGACTACCAAGTCCTGTGTCGGTATTTAAAAATGCACGACTTCCCTGCAAAGATGTCACCAAATTAAGAGACAGCCAACATATCTCAAAGTAGCTCAGTTGGGATGAGTCCTGATCTGGACTTTGTATGAGTTTGAAACTTTTGACTTCCTACATCATGTGTAGCTGGCTGTTGACAACCACGCCCTGTCTGTCGCTGAGCACAAGGAGTTCCAACAAGGACAGCGAGAATTTGCCAACTGGCTGAGAGAGGCCAAGAACAAGTTGACGTCCCTGACCGACGTATCTGGCAACAGCAAGACAGTGCAGGCCAAACTAGCTGCCTTGGAGGTTGGTATCACAGTATCAGCCTAGCGTATGAAGCAAAACTTGAATAGGGTACTGGTTTGAAGTTTAGGACCTGATTTCTTGATACTCTGCATAAAAAAAATCTGATTTTGCTGGTACAAAAAGCAATTTAGTAATGGTGCATATTTCCAATTTGAATAGGGAATAAATGGTTTATGAATTCATTGTTTCATTAATTCCAACTCTTGGGCATTTCCATAATGCGCCTCCTGAATTTGCCAAAATCTGCCACTATGCAGGAATAAATGGAACATCTGTAATTGTTTGAGGGATCAAGGGGTGCAAGTGAGCAAATCCCATATAAAGTAATGGTGGCTGGACACAACCTTCAAGCATGCGTTCTGTAATGTTTTGACGAAGAAGAGGTGTGTACAGTTGAAACTGCGCTCATCATGAGGTTGAGACAAAGAGTTTGTTGCTTATAGTTTGGGGGTTTCGTTGTTAAAAACCAAATTAATGTATGTCCTAATGGTGACAACTGTTTACTTTGTATTTACAGGATCTGCTCACTGCCAAAGAAGCAGGCCAGGAGAAGTTGGACTCCGTCACTGGCAGCGGAGGCAGGACTCTCCCACTCACAGCAGCGGCTGGACAAGAGACCATCACTCAGCAGCTGCAGAAGGACCAGGAGGAGCTGGCTGCGCTGATGGCCAGCCTGCTAGACTCCAGGGACAGGCTGAAGGAATGCGCCGGGCAGTGGGATGTGTATGAGGAGAGCCAGGCTGAGATGGATGGCTGGCTGAGGGAGTTGGAGGAACAGCTAGGGAAGGGACTAGAACTCCAGCCTGGATTGGAGACTAAGCGGGAACAGGTTAATGAGTTCAAGGTGAGAAGTTGAACTTCTCCTGTCTGAGTTCAAAGTTGCTCTATTTCTGGGTCACATCATGGCTATGCCATCTCAAATGAGTTATCCCAGTGTAACTTCCAATTTCAACCTCCTTAGATCTGCAAGATACTCCTCAAACAGTCATCGTAAAGTAGTGCATAAAATTCTGTACTGCTATGTGCAGTCATTTAGAATCAACAACATTAAAATCAACTATGCTTGATGTTATATGACTTCCAAAATGCGTATGCTTATCATCAAGAATAAAAGGAAAATCTAAAACTGACATTCTTCCATTGTTTCTTTGAAATAATAAACATGACAAGTGGACAAAGCACCTGGCTTATTAATAAAGTTCAGAGTATTTTAAATTTCATTCAGTCATAAGGAAAATGATTAAATATAGAAATAAATACATGTAGTAAATAAATATTTATATTTGTACGTACATCAAAAATCAATAAAATGGTAGAGTTCCTGGTTTTTATCTTGGTATTATATTATTCTATTTAGTCAGTATTTCCTGTCTTCAAGGGTATTCCAGTGTCATTCACAAGGAGGTCATTTTATTGTTGCCTTCATTTAGGCCCTTCAAGAAACCATCCAGAGCAGGCAGCCAGCTGTGGAGGCTGTGTCCAGACAGGCTCAGAGCCTTTTGGATAGCAGTGTTGGTAATGTAGGCGTTGTCAGTGAGTCGACCAGACTGGCCTCCAGGTTCCAGAGACTGATCATGACAGCCAAGGTAAGGCCGTGGTGTTCATTATTGGGATATTTCGTTCACATACTGCATAGTCTTGGTAGTCTGCAAAGTAGTACTTTGGCAACTGGAATACACTGATTACGCCCACTTAGTCATGTGACCTTTCCCATAGCAAAGTGTGTTTTAATCCCTTAACACTGGTAGATGGCTACAGCCGCGGCTTTGTGTGAGGATTAGTGCATACCACACATACATTCTATTCATCATGCACCTGCAGTTTCAATGTGGGCCTGCTGCTGGATTGGGGTTTGCATGCTGGGCATACCGTGGCCCAGCAGTTGCGGTCAAAAGAATCCTGGCATTTAGGGGCTAAGTATTGATTACCAAAAAATTAAGCCAATTTACGGTATAGTACCCAGCATATCAGTAGTCTGAGTATGGTACCTACCATTGGCTGTATTTGTGGTAAATGATACTTACGAAACACTTTACTGAGGGGGACGCCATGTTTGTTGATATTTAATACCCACTATAGGTCCCATGACTTAGAAGGTGCAATCGGTCTATTAGGAGTTATTACTGCTGTGGCACAGGTGGACAGGTGGTACATGCAGGTGACATGCCACTTCAACCAACAGGGTGTCGTGACTTGCCAAATGTACATGTGCATCAAGTCCAAGAATGCACATGCTAGCGAAGTGTCACTGCAGTTATGACATCTCCTCTTAGTCTGTTCCTGTTATTATGGTCGTATCTGACATGTTAACATGACATTTTAAGTGTTTGATTTCGATGTGTACAGAAAGTGGGCTGTGTGACCAGTTATGCATGTTTGTATTGCTAATGAGAGCTCTGGAAAATGACATCCAAATAGAATTGGTTTGATGCCACTACAAAAATGGAATTTTATTTAATTTAATTTAAATGGCTGTGTAGATGTAAGAAAAAATGAAAGATTGCCATGTTCAGTTTTAGGCTTGAACACACTATGTGCAATTGTTTGAGCTGAGCTAAAGTGCTAAATGGTTTTTCAGGGTGGTTACAGTTTGCAGTCAGTTTGCACAGTTGGAACTTTCTGGACAATTTAATAATAAAGAGCTACGAATACACTTAGTGTATGTCTTGGATATCTTTATCTTGTGCTTTAGGACCAGCTGAAAAAGAGTGAGCACAATGCTGCAGACCACGCCCAGTACCAGGATGCCCTAAACGACTTCAACTCCTGGCTAGCCTCCTCTCAAGAAGCCCTGGACCAGAACTCTGGTCTCCTTGGCGACAAGCTGACCCTCCAGGACAGAGCTAAGAACTTGAAGGACTTGGCAGCCACCAGAGGAACTGGACATAACCTCCTGCAGGCTCTGGATCACAGAGCTGGCAAAACCCTCCCCAATACAGCCGTCTCCGGCCAGGAGCTCTTGAGGCAGGATACCAGGGCTGCTCACGCTGCCTTGGAGGAGCTTGCAGCAAGTTTGATTAAGCAGACTCAGGATCTGCAGCAGTGTTTGAGCCTCTGGGACGACTTTGATGGCCAGTACTCTCAAGTGACGGAGGAACTGGGAGAGGCAGAAGTTATCCTGGTCAAAGAACCCGAGCTGGCACCAGATGTGAAGCACAAGGAACAACAGCTTAATCGGTACCAGGTAAGCTAAAAGGGTGTTTGATACTCACGGCCCAGTTTGGCCCATGGGTGATTATCGCAACCCAATCTAACTCTTAACTTGAACCATAACCCAACCGAGTCTGAGCCTAAACCTAGCCCAGCCTGAACCCTGTAAAACCTATCCCAATCTGATCCCTAACCCAGCCCAGTCTTCTGCTGTCTACCCTGTCTCCTATATTCATGGGGCTAGGTTAACTTACCCAATCTAACTTTCCCTCAATCTCGTGACCAATAAGGCCTCCTCTTGCCCAGTCTGCCTTACCAAGAAGTCCTAAATAAGGCCAGCTGTTTCCTTGTAAGCTTTCCAGGGTTCGCCCAGAGCTGCCGTCCTTCAGCCCACACTTACATTTCATTAGTCTTTTTCAAGCCTGATGCATTCTTGTCAAAGGCCTCTTGCTCTCTTTTTATCCAGTTTTGACTGAGTTAGTGCATAACCATTTACTATGTACTACAGTGATTCTCATAACTAAGTTATCCTCATCAACATCCATTTCTCCCCCTTGTTGATGCATCCAGAGTTTGGCTGATGAGGTAGCTCAACAGAAAGAATCCTTGGACTGTCTCTGGGCTGGTGCTAAGGAACTTCAGAGATTGACAGAGGAAGATGAAATTACCAAGAAGGCAACCGAGATGATGGAACGCCACAAGAAATTAATGCAAGCTGCCAAGGTAGGCATGTTTTTCTTTGTATCTAAGAACAGAACCAAATGCAAACATAGCTGTTCCTTTCAAGCATTCACTAGACTCATCCAAAAATAATTTAATTATTTCCATTATAAACACAGCATGTGAGAACTGGAACTTTTAACGTGTTTTTGCTGAGAGCAATATCTTTTAGGAATAATTGCCTTCCGGCATTGTCAAAAGTGAAATCAAACCACCCACAAAATATTTAGAAATGCTTTTTTTTGTTTTATGTAGGCAGCTGTTGAAACAACGTTCCAGAGAGCAGAGAACCACCGGGAGTACAATGACCTCAACAGGGCCCTTTGTCATTGGCTGGAATCGACCAATCAGGCCTTGAGACACCACAGCTGTCTTGCTGGCACCAAAGACACCCTCAATCAACAACTGGCCAGTGTGACAGTAAGTTTCCATAACCCATTTCAAGACCAAATTATTGTTGCATGGAAATGTTTTCTTGTTTAGAAAAGAAATTACCCTTGCAACCTGCTGATGAAAACTACAGTGGTAAGCTCTTTCTTTCACTGACAATTTGAGCACACTATTTAAAATGTTGAGAAGATCCTGTCGAGAAGTTTAGCTGTGTCTGCTGATAAGAGACAATTGTGTCTCGTTGCTTTAAAGTGGTACTGACGACATCACTTCATCATGCAAATCTCATATCCTTTTTACTGTGACAGACTTTATAGAACTAGAGAACTTTGATTTCAAATCCAAATGTACCAAGACCTGTAGCTTTCCTCTTTTCCACTGAACCTAACCCTCCTAGGTAAACCTAACCCTCTTAGGTCCTTGAAAATCTGCAATGTTCAGGGTTGCAATACTGAGAAAAGAAGAAGTCTTCAAATACTCTTCTCTCTGTTGATTGATTCTCATTGAAAATCAAGACACGGTTCAGGTATGTTCCTAAAAGTGTATGTTGTTGGAGCTAGGGTTGAGCTGAAGCAAAAAATTGGTTTTCCATGAGCCTGTTTCAGAGGGTCTGTGTGCTACTTTGAAAAAGTGGAAAATGTTTTCTTTTTCTTTCAATCAGGAATTGATATCTGATGTTCCATCTTGTGAGGAAAAGCTCATGCAGCCCACCCAAGCTCTTGGTGGTAAAGTCCTCGCAGAAACCTCCCCAGATGGGTGTGCCATAGTCCAGCAAGAACTGGATCAATCCAGCCGGGACTGGTCCAGGCTGGTCGGAGACGCCGACGACATCAAGCTGTCTCTGGAGGGTGCCATTTGTCAGTGGGAGGAGTATGAGGAGGAACATGAGAGGCTGGTCCAACGCCTCAACGAGGCAGAGGCAGAAACGAGCCAAGAGCTGGAGTTGAAGAAAGACGTAGCCGAGAAACAAGAGCAGCTGGAGAGTTTGAAGGTAAATATCTTGCAAACAAATTCAGACTGATGGTTTGTGAAAGCTGAAGTTTATTTTTGGACACTACAGTGTTTTTTATTTATATGTTACTGGATCCCACTGTATGAGTAGGCATTACATTAATTATTCCCACTTTGTAGGATTACATAATTATTCGAAAGACCGAACAATTCTAAGCTGTCATTTTCATCTGCATTTGGTTTGAGATTCTAATACATACAGACATTATGTCGGCAAAATTTTATAGTACCTGCTTATTTCCATTATCATGCAAAAAATGTCAGAGCCTTGTAACTGAGAAATGGCTCTGGTAACTTCAAAAGTTGTGACTCCTGTTCTTGAGTTTGAACACAACTTGTTCAGCATGCCCAGAGCCCCAGTGAATATCATAACGTCACAGCACTCAACAAACGGCCATATTATAACCTAATATTCATTGCAATAAGTATCACCACATGCAAATGTCTACACACTGTGTCTGGGTTTATCTTGTGTGTGCTAGATTGTCTACGAGGACGTCCTTAGCCTGGAGACATCCCTCAATGCTGTGGTCTTGAGTGCTGACCCTATCCTAAACAACAACCCAATGGATTCCACTGTCAGTGGACAGCTATCCCAGGCTAGACTTCGCCACCAAACATTAGTCAACACCATGAAGGTAAGAAAGTCACAGTCAGTGATTTTCAGTTCAATTTGAGTAAATGTATCAGTGAAGAAGGATGATATTGGTAACTCGTTCGTGTGAATAGTTTCACATGGATGCATGGATCATTTAAAAAAAGGTTAGATTGTTAAGCTGGTGATAAGAGCAAATGCGTGCTTGTTCATCCATTTCATTATTTGTTCCTCCACGTTTTTGCTCTTCTAGCAGGTTTTTCTGAGCTACAACTTGTTTCTTCCTGAGAAAAAATGTCTCCCCATGGAAAACAAAATTGACTAAATTGACAAAATTGTGCTCAAATTTTCCAATTTACTGTAAGATTATATCCAACTCTTGTTCAAACAAAATAATGATTTTAAAACTCACTTTGTTATCCATAGCTAGTTCTATTTCCCTTTCCCCCAAGAAACAGAATTCTCAGAAAGATTTTTTAACCATTTTGGTAACATTTTGAGCCAAATGTCTTAGAATATTTCATCCAGAATCCCTGTTTCTTTTTAACAGGCCCAGGTCAAATTGTGCCAGGAGAGAGTCCAAGACCATACAGACTTCAGTCTGTCCTTGGAGGAAAGCCAGAGTATTCTCAGTGAAGCAGAGCAACGGCTGAGCCCCCTGCAAGACATCTCTGGAGACAGGCCCTCTGTTGATGCTAAACTAGCTGCTCTGGAGGTGGGTTTACCTGCTCCGAGATCCCTGATTTACTAGGTTTGGGCAAGTGGATGTCACATTTGCAGTGACTTCTCCAGCCAAATTTGCACCTAAGTGGCAGTGACCATATTCCTCAGTATTCGCATGGTGATATCAGCTCCATCATCAGAGAAAATTCCATTCGGATGCATCTTGATTATGAGCTGAAATTTTACTGACCTATCAGAACTGTTGTCACCAAATTAGTGTACCTGTGAGCTTTAATAGATGTTACAATAATATCAGTTGTGTTGGCTTGCTTTGTAGTTATAGTTTGTTGGTAGCATTACCGGAGATGATCCCAGAAATTCAAATTTGAAATGGCTCTGTATTGTTTGCCCGTGAATTGAATCATTTGGAATTTTTACATTTTCTTGCGTAGACAAGCAAAGCTCAGGCAGGCTCCAGTGTTGGCTGTTGTGTTGAATTTTTCAACTATATAGTGTTTTTCTTTCTTTCCCAAAGACCATGGCCAGTCACCTAACCGAGTTTGAAGCCCAAGTCCGTTGTGCCACCGACCAGGGTCACCACATCCTGCCGCACACCTCGCCTGAGGGTCAAGAGGTTGTCCAGGGTCAAGTGGCCGACCTATCGGTCACGCTGACCTCACTGGTGCATGGTGTGAAGGATGCTGGGAAGGCCCTGGTTGAGCGTGTCCGTTGCTGGAGCGAGTATGAGACTGCAGAGGAGGAGTTTGGCGAGTGGCTGGCCGAGACGGAGAAAGTTCTCACCCAGGAGCCTGAGAGGAAAGCAGACCTTGGCGAGAAGAAGAGCCAGCTAGAGAGATACAAAGTAAGAGATGGAGAACAATTTGAAATAAATCACAAATGGAAGACTTTGAGATGCTTGGTAGTGGCAAACATACTGGTCCTTTGTAGCAGTTCCGAGCATGCGCATTCTGAGCGTGCAGGCATTGTTCTCAGCATGTGCAACACTGTGAATAAGGACCGGCATGTCTGTTGCCACCAGCATCTCAAAATTTCTCATTGCACAAGAAAGACTGAGCTAGTAATAAACCAACTTTCGCTGTGCATCTTAGAGAGCATCACAGGCTGCCACAGTGTGTGACTCACATCTGGTATTGACTGCTTGATTGATGCGGCTTGGGACCCCTTGTGTTGACATGGCCTCATGGTTTGTGCATATCATGTTCCATCGAGGACCACAGAATGAATGATTTTTTTTTTCTATTCTGTAGAAAGTAAACCAGCAATGATTTTGGAGCTTAGAATTTCTTATTTTTGCTCTGCCGGCCCAGGCAAACTTGGGACCATTTGTAAACAATTTGTTGGTTTTCCTTCTTAACCTTTTCACAAAATATATTCTTGGTGCCTGGAAAACTTGACCAGTAGGTTAGTAATGGTTTCCAGTTGAAGTTGGCCAAAGTTACAGGTCTCTTGTAGCCAACAAGTCTTTGTGTGTACTTCTCACAGGCCCTAGAGAGTGAGATTACTTCCCACAGCATAAACCTCCAGGACGCGGAGCAGAAAGCTCTGAAGGTCCTGGAGCACGACACAGGCTCAGTGGACGTCGAAGGGAAGACGGCTGACCTCAGGGCTCGCTATCAGGCACTGTGCCTTAGGTCAAAGGTAAGTCTTCTTGTGATTCTGTGAAACTGATGAGTTGATACAGTGACGAGCAGATTAACTTGCTCAGTAGAAGGTAGTAAGAGCCAGTCAGAGGAAATATGTGTTGCTTGATATTTCTTGATCGGTAGTCTGTTTATTGTTAAGCAGATTTGAGAGCTAAGCAAAATTTTTAAGTTGACTCTTGGGCATCAGTAATGCATAAAATGTTGAAGGCATTTTTGAATATGACATAAATACGAAAGACTGGGATTGTAAAAATCATTACTTTGAGAAGGCTCTGAACTTTAGAAATCAAATCAAATGAGGAATTTTAAAGTACGTATAAAAACACATGGTATGCCTTCCATTGCAGGATGTGACAGATGCCCTGACACACAGTGTGACAGAGCACCAGGGGTATCAGGATGCCCTGCAGGAGGCAGAGAAGGCCCTGCTGGATATCTCACAGCAGCTCACCACCCAGGGGGCATTACCAGAGGGGGCCAGCCTGGAGGACAGCCAGCAACAGCTCTCACAGCTCCAGGTGAGTTGGGTTACTTTGACATATTCACCATGCTGAATTTCATCATTCCATCATTAAGGACACATTTGTTGTCATGGTGACTGAGCATCTGAACCTAGTTCATTGTTTATAACACCATCGATGACTACAGCTAAATGGACCCCCGTGCGTAGGCAAGAGAGGGTGCTTTATCATTCAACATGGATCCAGTTTGGTATTTCATTAGGGCATGCTCAAAATGCAAATCAGTTGAGAACCTCATTACGTATGTGCGAGGTTGACCCTGTCAGCGTGGCTGCAAACTGAATGACATGCACTGAATTTGTCAGAACTGGCCTGACATCAAGTTGTTTGCTCTTGAATGACCTAGTTTATTTGAAATCCCAAACTGGTTTATTCTAGGTGGGCTTTAAATACTTCATATGCATATCTGATTTAAGTATTTTGATCCAAAGAGGTGTTCATATTGGCATTGGGTGCGTGGAAGTACTTGGGAGGCATTGAATTATCATTCCAGGCTTTTTATTTGCTACCATCAGGGGCCTACTTGTGTACAGTCCATAATGTTGCTACTGACCCTAAAAATCCAAATTCTCCAAAGACCAGCACCAGGTTTTGGCAACATTCAAGACCATATTGCTGTGGTGTCACCGATGTCGTCACCGTCGTCAATTGATAAACTCTTCCAGTGCATGAATTTCAAAGTTGTAGGCCCCTATTAGTGTCTGAACTCAAGTCTGGACAAAGAAACAAAGAGAACTGACTGGAGATGCTTCCCTTGTTGATATTCAGCAGACTTTCTCTTACTGTGGGTCCAGCTTAGCTTGAATGAAAACGGGTCAGTCCACAAATGTACAATGTTTGCCCAGTGGTGTAGCGAAGGCATTTTCTTGGGGGGTGTGCCAAATCAATTTGCCTTGTTGTAACTTGTTGGCCAACCTTGTGTTGTGTAAAATTCTCAAAGTGATCCGTGGTACGCTACATTTCATGCTTCGGGGGAAATGCCGGAGGCCAATGTATATCGTGTATGTACTAGTTTTGGATTCATTTACCGACCCAAACTCTGTTTGATGAGTGGAATTATTTATTGGGGAAAATTATTTATTGGGGGAGTGCCGCACCCCCACGCCCCAGTGGTCACTATGCCCCTGCAAACATGAGCTTGTATGCTTGCTTGTAGTAGAACATCACACCAGCATCTAACCTGATAGGTCCAACTAACAAAGCGCACAGAGATATATGGTAGTATAGTTGACAGGTGATCTCATTCACAAGACTTTTAGGTCCGTCGAAAGAAGTGTCAAAACATCACCTATTAATCCTTTTACTTTATCACCCTGCACAAGGAAACGGACATTTTGAGGAATTGAACATTTGAAGTAGTTGGAAGGTTAGAGGGTTTCATTATGCACACACAAACCTTCACATTGGTTTCTGTAATGGCACACTTTGCTGAAGGACTTGGTTATGTTGTTAACAATTCGATAGTGGTAAATGACCTAAAACATCTTGTCGCAGTCAGGTGGAATGTTCACTTAAAGGCAAAAATGTTACAGTCAAGTGCATATTTTTGGTTTAGGTATCAGCATCTCTGTTAGAAATGCATGAAAGTGTAGGGCATAATTTTAAGTTAATATTTGCCTTTTTTTCTGGAATCATAATAACAGTTATTGCTCGTGGAATGTTTGGGAATGCTGCCAATATTTAATCTATAATGTGCGTTGCATATATTAAGTTATAGCAGGCATTTAATGCTTCCCGTAGAAAACCTCACAATTAGCAGAAAAAATTGTTGCAGGATGTTGTTTTTCCTTCTATTGTGTTTGTTTTGTCTGAACCAAACAACCCACAAAATCATAACAGTTCAAACTGTGACTCATTGATGAGTGTGGAAATGTTTTAATCATCTTTGTTTGCTGCATGGTATAACGTGAATTCAGGTCAATTGTGTATTCGTTTCCTAATTGCTAATTGTTCCAAATTTGTTATCAAAATAAGTATGGGATGAGATCACAAGAACCTAGGATTGCTGGTATAAACGGTTCTGCATTGTCCCTTGAATGCATCTGCAAGTAATTGTCGTATTCATTAAGGTTGTTCCAATTCTGTAGCATTTTCTTCAGATTTGTGAGTTTGACCTTTTCATCTTTGTGACAGATTTTTAACAAAATGAAGAATCACCATGTTGCTTGCAAATAAAAACATGCATGAAATTTATGAAGTTTTACATTACTTGCCTGAAAAGTTCGCCAGTAAGACAAAATTGCACCGCTAACCATTTTTATCTCCCCTTTCTGCGTCTATTGGTTCCTGGATCTTTCTTTAACACTGGGTATGCACGACTAACACCCACCTGTAATATTTCCTCCTTCCCCCTTCAATCTCCCCTCACAGGGAATCATGAGGCAAATCACTGCATGCTCTGCCAAACTAGACCAGGCTTCTGTAGCCGGTAGTGCTCTCACGAGCTCCGCCCAAGCCACACCCACACTAACCCAGCATGTAGGGGTGGAGCTCAGGGCCGTAGAGGAGGGGCTGGAGGCTGTCAATCAGACTGCCAATAGCATACAGGCACGCCTCCAAGACCTGATTAACCAGCAGCAGGTTTATAAGGAGACATTGCAGACTTGTGCTGACTGGTTGCAGGTCGCACAGCAGGGATGGAGTGTGGATGAAGCTGATGCGAAGGCGGCGGTTGTCATAGAAACGGAAGGGCTGGAGGACGCCCAGAATCAACTCAAGGAGCTGCAAGTAAGTTGAATGGTTATACGAAGTTGCAATTTCCAATATTCTTTCAAATCACTTGTAGACTGGACTGGCATCCCATCCAAGGGGAGTAGAATTAGTCGGTAATTTCAGTTGGAGAAAAATGACGGGAAACATTGCTAAATTGGCTTGGAAAGACTTTGATTTTTTCTCATCACTCCATCTTGTCTTGTGTAATGACAGAATGATGGTTCATTGTACCTTGGAAATCCTTCTTCTTTATTTTAAATTAGAAATAAAATTAGCTCATTAATGACTTTCCTTTATGTCAAGGCTTTCAATTCATGAAAATGACACTCTGGACATTAGGACTTAGCTGAGTGTGCAATTCACTCTGTAGTGTCAACTACAAACTGCCAGGTAAAACACATATGTCACAGGTTTGAAGTTGATGTTGACTGCTGTTGCAAACCATGTGATGATAACGTCTTTGTTTCTTCTAGGCTTTGTTAGACACAGCCGTGATGCACAGCCAGCTGGTGCAAGCAGCTGAGGAGAGCTTGGAAGACTCCAGTGCTGACCTCTCCACCTCCCAGCTCTCCGCTGACGTCCACCAGCATCTCACAGTGGTCACGGAGACCGTGGAAGCCCGCATCGCTGTCGCACAGCAGCTCAGCAAGCAATGGAAGGAGCTGGAGGAGAGGAAGGCCAGGCTGGGGGAGTGGCTTGAGCAGGCCAGGGGGCGGGAGGAGGAGGAAAGACTCCAACCTGCCGAGGTGGATGTTGCCAAAGCCAAGGCTCATCTGGATGGTGTTGAGGTTAGGGGCTTTTTCCCAAAATGTGGACCCCCCATGCTAGAAAATTGGCATTTTTTCACGCTGGGACAGGCTTGTTGAATTTGATACGAATGATAGTCCATTGGATGACAGCCCTTGTAACATCTGTCATATCAAGCTGAGTAGATGATTGGGGTTTTGATTTATAATTTCCCCTCTCAACCAATCATGAATTGTATCTGGGTATCTTTTTATACAAGTATATGGTGTATGGTTCTCTTGACTCTGTTTTTCAGTGTGTCACAGGTTAACCATTAACTAAACTGCCACCAGTGGTGTTATATGTCCTTGCAAAGGTGTTTATAAGCAAGCTTTTTGTATGAAAATTGTTTGGTTAGCAGACTGCTTTGTAAAGATTTAATCAAGTCCATCACAAGTCGAATCTGAAGGCAGAAATAACAGGATGAGGAATGAAATGACTTGGGAATATCTTTGCTGCAGTTAGCTTGAATAGAGCTTCCTACTAGTGAGACTGAGTGATTAGTGATGGGTATCTGTGGTCTTGATTGCTTCATATACCTCTTGGTGCATTCATGCTTTGATGTATTTCTGACATGGCAAAGGATGCATACACTGCCTTTGGTATTTATGCGCACCCAACAGTTTAGAATATATCTCATTGAAGTTAAATTGCCTCATTTGACACTCATAACTGAACCACGTGGTGTCCCCAACAGTTCTAACCCAAAGCCATTTGGGTTAGATGTGGGGTTCCATGTTGTGCCATGTTGTGCCAACCAAAGCCTTAGTTTCAGCCTCATGTTACCTTCATAGGACTTCCTTAAAGAGGTCAAGGCCAAGCAGGCAGAGTTGGCCCAGATCCGAGACGAGCAATCCCACCTCTGCCACCGACCTGACCCAGACCTGGACGCCCTTGACCAAGGCTTCAAGACCTTGTCCGACCTAGTGGAGCAGCTGGCAGATGCCCGCAGGGGGGAGCTGGAGGACGCCCGGGGTTACCTGGAGGCAAGGAGCGCTGTAGAAAAGGTGCTTGATGAAGCCCAGAAAACCATGGAAGAAATGGAGAAAGATGACTTCATGCCCATTTCTGAGAAGCTAGAAAAACACCAGGTTAGTTCTGCAGTCACATTCGTCCGTTACATGGCTGTACTTTCACCATAACCTTTTCATTGCAAGCAAGTTGAAACTATTGTAGTTGGACACATTTATATGAGTAGGGGTACCTTGACATGATTGCAAGTGCAAGGCATAATATTTTCCCATGAGAATCCATGCAGATAGTTGTGGGGAGAATGACTTGAATACAGTTATGAGTTGTGCAACACAGAGCTGAAGATTGAAAGTATTGTGTCAATTAAATGGGATAGCCTTATGAGCATTCGGGGATGACTCACTTGGTCTGTTTGATTTCCTCAAAACATTGTGTACACCAAAGAAGACCCACTGCGCCTGCAATTCTGAACACCTGATATTTCAAAAAGTCAAAAATCATTGCTATAATTGTCAATTCCTTGACTTTTCTCCCCTTGGATAATGGCTTTCCGTCATCAGAAATATTAAAGTAGTATGAAATTAGAGTACCGTGTTAAAAAATACTTTTTTTCCCTGCATTTGTGTTTTGGTATAAGTGGCATGTACAGGCATTTCCGAGGGAGTTTGGCTACCAAAAATGTCAGAGTTCTTTTGTCTTTCAAAGGGATAATGGATTAAAAGCCTTAAACTGTAAACTTCAGGATATTTATACCCAGGAAATACTTTAAAAATTGACATTGGACAGATGGAAGGGGATGATTAAGCACTCAAATCGTCCCATGTATCCACCTTGAGGTATGTTATTTTTAAAAGTCTATTGGAGGCCAGTAAACTGAATTTAACTGTTTTCAAGTTTAAAATGGCCAAGGAGTTTTCTCTCTTTTGTTATGAATGATGACAAGGTTTCAGATTGCAAATGTACCCGAAGATTAAGGTTAAAGAAGCCAGCATCTCAGTACAAACCTACACGTTTTGGATTTGTCCTTAACTCATCTCATAATTTATTTTTTTATTTAAATTCTCATATTTTAAAGATTAGTTAAGCCAAATGTGCTCTTTAATTTACAGGGGTCACTGTAAACAGGTTCTATTTAAATAGCCAGACCCTTTTTCACATGATGGAAATATAGTCGGTGGTTAACATGCACCTTTAACTTTCTAATCATCAGCACAAGCTGCTGGTTTCGGATTACACTCCGGCTAATGTATTTCAGGATAATTTTATTCAGAACAAGTTTATGTGTGAACAAGATGTCGTGCATGTTTAAAAGTTACTGTCACAATTCAAGAAGCAGGTGAAAGAGCATCTTTAAGTTTCTCTCAGTAGCTGGACATGAATTTACTCACAAGAACAAAAAAATCAATGTCATTCAGGATGCTCTGTTGCATTCATGAGGCTCTTTTGAAAAGCCTCTCTGTATCTAACTGTTACAACTTAATCAATAACCTCTGATTCCAGGCTTGAGCAGCATACCTCAAGCCATTGATCCAGCACATTTATCTCATCCTTTAGAAGCCATGGGATCAATATTTAGATTTACTTTGACTGCACAGACTCAAGCGACAGACAGGGCCATTGTAGGAGAGCCTTTGTGTCCCACTTGTCAAACAAACCCTTCTTATTGGCTTATCTAGCCAGGAGTGGCTGGCTTGTGTGCAGTGGCTTAGTGACAGTGGACGATTTGCATGTAGCTGATGGCGCGTTTGATCTCCCGCCATACCATGGAGGGAAATTTGTTTACAAGTTGTCTCAGCTGTCAGCGTCCAGAGTTGCCTTGCTCCTGTTTCTGATCGTATCACCAACTGTTTGTGTAGACTGTGCAACATAAGTGATTTGCATTACAGGATGGAGATGCCCAACAGTTTGAGCAAGGTCCAGTCGATCTGGATGGGAAGTTATTTCAGAGTGGACAGCATGCTCTTGTCATAGCTACATGGATTATACTTCTTGTTATTGATCAGCATGGAGTATTAAGAAGCCAAACGCAGCACACAAATTTGCTGACAGTGATGTCCAGGTGTTTTAATGTTGTCGTGATAAAAGTTTACAACATTTGTCCGAAGAAGGAACCACATGTACATCAAAGCTTGTGCTATTGAGAAATGTACCTATACACTGTACATGAAGTTTGGCTCTTGTGGAACAAGTGCATCTTGGCAGATGTAGAACATCAGTCAGGTGTTTACTAGTGCTGTGTCCAGATACCCTACCGAACCGGTACATAAAAGGCTGTTACCAAATGGTTAGACACGTCTGTGCTGTAGTGTGCCATCACCTGTCCAGGGAATCGTTGCACAGTGTTGCAAGGTCCAAAACACCGTCTACCGAAAGGCTAAGATAACCCAGTGAGTCATGGGTGCAGCTGAGAGCTCTCCAACCTCCCCTAGAGGAACCATCCCTCACCTGGGCTTCTCCAAGATTGACAACAAGCAGAAGAGAAGGGTTAGGTTTGGAGTGACCTCACTATGTTTTTGGTCTCAATACTACATGTAATTATTGCACAATATCTATCGATGCACACCACTGCAGATGAGCCATAGTTGTGTGGCCTATGGTGATCGAATAATGTGACATCGATACCTCAAGGGGCTCATCAGATAAGCAAGTGACATTCTTTTTTTTCAGAGGACGTCTTCCTTACTGGCTGAGAGGAATGAACTTGATGCCTTGAGGGAATGCACAAGGAGAGTGTGTGGATCCACAAGCCCAAAGGAGAGAAATGCTGTGCAGGAATTCTTCAGGTAGGAAATATCAAGAAACGTAGCTGCTTATGTCACAGTTGAACCAGTTGATGCATATTGATAGGGAAACTGAGCTTCAGAGTATATTTTGTAAAGATACTGCCGTGAAAGTTTTGAAAAAGGCATTAAAGTTTGGCTGAGAAAAGTGAAAATGGAATAAATGGATAACGCTTCAGTATCCATTGAGCATAAAGCTTTTGCTTTTGAGTTTTCTTTTTGTTTTTGTTTTGAATGAAATTAGGGGTTTTATTTAATGGTCCAATCAATATGCTGTGGCCATATTCTCTATGTATCATGTAAAGTAAAAACTTGGAGTTAAAAGAGGTTGCACTAACAGACCCCAGAAATGTTTGGCTCTGAAGTGATTCTTAGAAGCTTATGAACTTTCCAAAGGGTAGGCAGTTGCTTGTAGGGCATGGTTCCATTTCCTATTGAGGCACTGAGGATAATGGAAGCCATTTCAGTTGCTTGTTAACCTCACTTGATTTAAGCAAGCTGACATTTAAATGGTGACAAACAAATACACAGACATTGGGCTGAAGTTCTTCCAAAGACCAAAGTCTCGTTTTACAGTGAGAGCACCGAGAGGTGGGTGAGTCTCGGGGAGCGAGCCCGCACGGGCACCCACACCCTCCAGCAGTCCCTGACAGACTACAATGCCTTCCTGGACAAGGCCAAGGAATCCCGGGAATGGTTAAAGGCTACTGAGGACCAGCTGGCTGTAGGAGAGATGGTAGGCCCCGCAGTGGAGGGCGCTCAAGAGATACTGGATGCTAACCATGTAAGGACTCATTGCAATCCGTAATAACGTGTGATGCTATTGATCCTGTCTCTTTGCTCGCTGGTTTTGTTGATTTGAAGTGTTGATTTAGGCCTGAGCTAAAGGCAGTGTTGTAAAGTTTTTGCTATTGCCGTACAAGCTCTCACAACCCTAATGAGTTCAACTTGTGTTGTATTGGCATACAGCATTTTGTTAATTTACCAATTAGCAGTTCAGGTAATACCAACATAAAATCAGCGTAAAATGAGGGTTACCCTAAACAGCATCATATAAGGATTAATAAAAAGAATGCAAGTGTGCAGTATAACATGCCCATCAGCCAGGTGTAGTGTACTTCAGGTCAAGGAACAGGAGTGATGTTCCTCTGTTGTTATTTACTCATTGATAGTGACAGAGGTTTTGCGTTAATACGTCCTCAGCGGGTAAAAGTTTTGTATCACTGGGATATGCTTGAGTAAGCCTTTTGTGCATTCATTGTAACTAACTTTAAATAACAAAAACAGCCTTTGAGACACCAGCAATGCATAACGTTTGTAACTCATGACAAAAATACTTGTGGGAAGCACTCAACTGGAACACTTGTTGAAGACACGTTCCGTGACGACTGATAAATTATTTAACATCGTCGGGTTAATTACTTTCTGGTACTCTAGGCTATTTGTTCAGACATTGCCAGCAAGAAGGCGGTGTATCTGCTGGTCAGCAGCCAGGCGGACAAACTCTGCCAGGGGCTGAGCCGCAGGGAGCGAGAGATGGTACAGCAGCACATGCAACAGATCGGCGCACAGTTGGAATTGCTGGAGCGAGAGCCTTAGAGAGACAGAAGATCCTGCAGACTTGTGTCGTGGAAAGAAGGGTATGTGGAAGTATAAACAGTGTTTGAAATTGCAAACGTGCGTCCATGGATTGCTGTTTGAGTTGTCTTTAATAAAGTGAGCTAGTTTGGTTTTTCAAACAGGTAAGGTCATTTGGTCACAAAGCATGCGCATGAGTCTGGGCTGATCTAGCAGGTGGCTCTGAATGATGTCAGACACACATTTTGGACAGGTGCTGTGGAAAGTCTAACTGGTTCATTGAGCACATCAAAACTTACTCAAGAGCTTCTTATAGGTTGTCTTGAAGTCTTTGGGTATCTTTTAGGATGAATCAGAATGTAAATTTAAGATCCTGTTAGAGATCACTTGTGGTGTGTTCGCACATGTAAACATAGCTAACATTTGCAACTTTTTTGTTGCATGTCCAGTGGAAAATCATTGGCAGATAGTGGCAATATTTATGTGATATAACACAGCTCTGACCTGTGTTTAGTAATTTAATACGTGAGATATCTGTGTACTTCCAACAGTGAACAAGTTCATATCTCAGATATTGGGATATGGCCCACATGGGTACATGTGTTGCACTATTGAACGTGGTCCTATGATTGGGATTAAATGTTGGAAATATGGGAAATTGTTCAATATCCAGACAGAAACTGGAAGATTCTTTATGGATTGAGAACATTTCCAATATTTAGGTCTTGTCTTTAGACTCCCTGGTCACCTGAAAGTATTCTGTTTCTTAAGCCTTCACGTTGGTTTGATTTGTTGTATTTGGACAGGATTTCTGGCAGCAGTTGGAGTCATGTACAGACTGGATCCAGGAAAAAGAACCCTTGATTCTACAGAAGGAATGCCCGGCTTTACAGGTGCCAACCGTTGTCCAACAGGTCTTTGAGGCTAAGGTAAGGTGGACTGTCAGTTGGTCTGTTTGTTGCTTTGATGGTTGTTGAGTTATTATTTTTTCCGTTATCTGTTGGTCAGTTTATAGAAGTCCTCTAAGAGTTGTCTTTTGTAAGCTTTCAGATTTTGTAAACAACAGGTTGTAATGCTGTCATATGTAAACAAAGTGCATCCGATTCAACATTCAATTGCATAGTTTCTTCTGCAGTTCTTTCATTGCCATAAAAGTCAACATTAAAAACAATAACCGAGAACCCTCACCTGCCTGTCACATTACCTTCAGTGGGAAACACACCTTGTGAGGAAGAAAGGCCAATAGGTTAACTTACAATAGGAATAATTTCGGTACATGTAGGGTATCTTGATTTTTTAAAATGATACAGACTCTTAAAAGTAGTTATTGCCACTTTGTTTCAGTAGTTAGAATCCTTTGCAAGAGAACAATAACAGAAATTGAAATTTTAGGCATGAGAGTAAAAAACATATAGTGTACATGCAAGGGTTACACCAAGAAAGTGCGTGATGAGATTGGAATCACTGTCAAAGAGGCTAGAATGCAAGTAACTTCACAAACCACATGTTGCTGCCCTTGATTTGGGTATGAAAATAAGCAGCAAGAAATTTGTTGATAATCGATTCTCCTGTATGTCTTCCAGTGAAAAACCTGAAAACATTTTGTTTGTTTGTTTGTTTGTTTCAGTCTGAGCAGGAGCAGCTGAAGTCACATCATCCCCACCTGCAACAGGTTGTGTCCAAGGGACAGGCGTTGTTCCCTCGCTGCAGCGAAGAACAACAGATTCAGCTTCATTCTCGGATAAATGGTGGGTCAGAACGTGGCAGACTTTACAACAGATGTGTCACACTAATACATGCGTACCAGTTATCTGCAGTGGTTGGCATGCAAGCCCATGTTTTTGAACACTGAAAGAGGCTGGAATGTCAACGTTTTGATGTTGCTATCAACAGAAGTGATCGCATTGTTGTTGTGAAGTGACCGTTATAATCAGACTGTAACTATGGGACACATTGTCAAATGGTCAAAGATGAAAATGTGTACGTTGCTTGATGATTGCTTAAAATGTTCTCAGTGTCATTGTAGCAGAAGTATGTTATTTGCTTGAGGTAGTCACTCTTTTCTGAAATATTTCTGAAATATTTCAATATATCAAGTTGGCTTCCGTGTGTTTTTGTACTCGTGGCGGATTAGGGAAACATTTGTTCCCTTTTAGCGTGGTTTATGCATAGCTTGTCTGTACACTTTTACTGAGTGTTACATCTATTAATGCTGCATCCTTGTGTGTTCTAATAATAAATATTTTGGGAGGAACAGCTGACTCTAGGAGAATCGAAAATATTTTCCCACTGTACAGATTTGCAGCGATGTTACAGCCAGCTACAGGACACAGCATCTAACCGTCTGGACTTGCTCGGTAAACATCTCACCAGGATGAAGCGATACGAGACAGACGTTGCTAAGATTGAATGTTGGCTGAGTGCCAGCGAGCCAATTGCTTTTGCTCCTGTTGTCCTACAGTGCCCTCTAGAGGACATGGAGCAACAGAGAGGGCAGTTTCAGGTGAGGATACATCAAAGTGCATTAGTCAGCCTACTGATGCTGGAAACATTCAGAGCAAGTATTGTTACCAGTATGATTTCATCTGAAGAAACTTCCACACGTAAAATTATTTGTTTGTTTTTTGAGTTGTGGATCTAGAGTTTTAGTCTAGGTTTGTAAAAATGTGTTCTAAATGTAATAATAAATGATTCTAGTACCAGAAATGACATTTTCAGATGACAGGATGTTATTAAAAGATTTCCTTGGGTACCCCATGACCGCACAATTTCCCTGAGATACATGTAGGCCACCATTGCGAATATTTGGCTAGCAGTGGTACCTGGAGCATTTAGACAGTCAAGCTTGTTTTCTCGTAAAATTCTGGTAACTGCAATTCTTTATCAAAATGTGCAGTGGTCACCGCGCGTGCTTTGTACAGGTGGTGTTATTATGCCAATTCAGTAGTGGATGCTGGCAACGCATTTTTCTCATTTGCTATTCATAATACATGAAGTCTTGCCCACCATGTAAATACTGTGCGTGGGTTCGTGGTCTTTGCCTGTGGCAATGGCTTATGTGCTTCAGGTCATGTGGATCTGTGAGAGTACCCAATGAAGAAATTTGCAGACTGTATTGCCTGAAAGCTTGTGCCTTATGTGGTCCTACCCGGAGACTGTATGTCCCTCTGCAAATTCCTTCACTGCTTTTATGCATTGTACTTTTTCGCAGGACATCTGTGATGACTCTGACACCTATAAGAATCTGGTCGATTCCCTGTGCTCTCAGGCCACCGACATCTTGCCAGAGCTGAGCCCCAGTGACAAAGTTATCATTGAGGAGCAGCTGCAGTCCCTGCGAGAGAAGTGCAAAGAGTAAGACACCCTGAAAGATTGACTTCATCTACCGCTCGCCTATAGTCTTTGTAGTATTTCCTTGGAATGCCCTCCTACTCCCCCATCATAGTGTCAGTTTTGTTGGCATGGTAACTTGTGCAAGGGATACTAACTTGTTCATTCTTTCAGGATAAAGGGTTGGACTGATGTTGTAGCTTCAACCAGTCTATCAATATTTTCAAGCACCCTTCAATATTACTAGAAAGCAGTAACAGATTTGGGATTTTTTTATTGACAATATTTGTTTATACTTTAAACTCATTCAGGTACAATTGCTATTCAAATAAAAGCTTTCTAAATCTTAGTCACAACTGTGTATGCTTTATTATTTGTGGGCTGCCGTTTACAAGCATTTTCTCCATAGTTTTACTTGTAATGTGGCCAGATTCAATCAGGTTATAACCATTTTCAATTTTTTAACACTTTTCATTTCTTCAATTTTTCATTATTCTTGCTTTTTGACCAACAAACGTTTCTGGCATCAGAACTTATTAAATGTTGCAGGAAAATGTTCAGTCTAAGTTCAAAATGTAAACAATTTACATTTTGTCCTGGTAAAACAGTTTATTTGGGAAATTTATCTTGAAAGTTTATATTTCTGGGATACCTCATTTTTTAACTGTTGGGCTTGAGAGTAAAACTACATAAAATGTAATGCTCATTGGAAAATTTGGCAGCATTCATTGGGGTCCTGCCATGCCTGGGGAGCTGAGGTTTCATTGGAAAAGTTTTATAATACCCTCTTAATGCATCTTTTCCCCTGGACTACAGAGTGGCCAGCAAATCATCCAATAAGCAGTACCACCTTGTAGACTCCATTCAGCAGCGGGAGGCTTACGAGGCACAGCTTGCTGACGAGGATACAGAGCTGGCCGATCTGCAGGCCCTGGCTAAGCTGCTAGAGGATCCAATCAGTCATGACGTGGATCGGGCCACAGATCAGCTGCAGAAGGCTGGGGTAAGTTTGTCACATCTGCAGCTGTGGACATCACAGCCACGACAGGTTTGTGTAAATAAAAGTTTCTTTAGTTACTTTCATGAAATGCCAATTACTCACCACTCAATTCAGGCATCTGGTACAGAGGTCGCACATCTCATGCAGCGTTAGACTTGAGACAATAGAGGTATTTCATCCTGTCCATTGTTGAACATGACTAAAAACAGTAAATTTCAAACAGGGTGCGTAATTTCCTGAAAAGCTTAACCCCTTGACGACAGGAATTTTTTTCTGAAAGCTGACTCCAAGAATTCCGGCCTCGCTTGGCCATGAAGGCCACCCGCCAAACCGCAAATTCTCGGTTTGTGGCCCTGCGTGCT